TTTTTTGGTAAGTGTTTAATGGAACACGTTTGATGTTTAATTATACATATATATGTGTATATATATATATATATGATTTAATTTTTTTAACTTTTCCCATCTATCGAATCGTATTGCCAGTTTGCTCTTATCAGGTCGTGGATAATTTAAGAAAGTATTTTTTTAACCTCTCCATTCCTCTGATCCACTTTTTGTTACAGGCCAACATGCAGAAATTTTCTGCTTAAAGTTCAACTTCAAACATTTTAAAGGGGGGTTGGGGTAGTGGTGGTGGTGGGGGGGCACTGATACCGATTACAAGGAGTAAAAGTCCCACCCTGACTGGAGTGTTTCAGCGTCTCTTTTGATGATTGGGAAATAAAGACACAAACATATTCCATATTATATCATGGACCAGTGTGGATTACACTTAACAGTTTTATTTGGAATATTAAGACAATGAAGCATAAGCCAAGCACCAAGAGTGACAGCTACAAGTGTCGCATCATACGGCTCTTAAAAATGAACAGGTTATACTGGAAAACTTGTATTTTTCTTTATCGTCTCTTTGAATGGCTAAGCAGAAACACGGAAACAGACGGTGAAATGTGAACATGGTAATGCCATTTACACGCTCCGAATCCTATCCGACATCAGAAAAGAAAAAAAGAAAAGGAAAAAAAAAAAGAGAGAGAGAGGAAAAGCAGAAGAAAAAACAGAACGGCGAAATTCGTCCGACGACAGCTTGATCAGCCTGTGGCCGCGGCCCCGGGTATTAAAGGGCTTTTGTGACGGGCCAGAGTGAATAAGGCGGTCTGGGAACGCGGCGGCGCGGCCGAGTGACGACCGTTAGTTCCCGTCATTGTCAAGTCCTGTTGCCTCGGCACCCGCGTCCACTCAGCAACCGATGTGCACGTACAGCATTAAAGTGACAGAGGATTGCAACCATTGTTAAAACTACACTCCATTGCATATTAGGGGAGAAGCGATAATGAAAATAATTCATTCATAAAACTTTTTTTTTTTCCTGCTTGCATATAGCACTTGACCCAGCTTTTTGAGAAAAAAAAAATCAAATAAAAATCTGTGTGGACGAAGGAAAAAAAGAAAAGAAAGGGTCCTCTGTTTTGTATTTGCACTTGATTTGAAACCATGAGTCATTGTGGAGGTGTTAGTAGAAGGGGGGGGGTGGGTATTGCTGTTGCATTAAATGGGTCGTCCATACTGGACCCAGTGGTTCCAACGAACGAGGCTCTAATAGTGCAGCTAAACAACATCGTAATGATGACAATGTAAGATTAAAAACAAACAAAAAAAAAAAACTAAAATTTGTGTTTATTTTTTAGGACATTAGATTTTTGTTTTCCCTTTTTTTTCTTGTTTTTTAATCTTTATTTTTAGGGGGTGGGCGTCACAGAAAGTTGGTGCTGGTTGAACGTGGTCCATGTTTTGTACATCCCTGGCTTAGGGCGGGGCGGTGAGAGGGTGTGGGTGTGTGCAAACACGGGGGGAGGGACGGGCGAGGGGGGGTGGGGGTGGGGGAGATGGTGTGCAGTTGCCAGAAGAAGCGCTGATAGTAAGAGTGTGCAAAGGCATGTGTGTTCCAGACAGCTTTTGCACCACAGGAGAATAAAAGTCTTTTCAGCGGGGGGTAGGGGGGGTGGGACGCGAACCCCCCCGTTCTGGTCTCCTCCTAAATCTACAGGTTATGTGGCAAACATGTGCTACTGTTAATATCAGAAACTTCCCATGGGGAAAAAACTGGTTCCGGAGGGTCAGCGGACTCTCCTTGCAACGGGGCCTGCCTGAGAATCGACGGGGGGTGTGAGGTGGGTGGGCGGGGGGAGGGCGGACGGGGGGCGCAGACGGATTGTTCATAGGGGTCACTGTCGTAAACCCCTCACACCGAAACTCTGCGGCCCCCTTCCACTGGACCCCCCGCCCCTCTCGGCGGCCGTGTCCACGCGCCGGGCGATCGAAACGAGAAACTCCCCTCACAGGTATCTGGACGTTTGGACCTCTTCGTCTAACGGTTCGTAAAGATGTGCGTAAAGGGTATACACATCGCCACCGGGGCAGGAAACACGTCGCACTAGGGTGGGAGGTTTTTTTTTTTTTTTGGGGGGGTGGCGAGCATTGCTGTAGACGATGCGTTCAATGTCCCACCTGCCGCCGGTGCGGAACTCGGCAAGAAAACCATAAAGACGACCGCTCCGGTAGTCTCTAAAAGCCGTTCGGTCTTCTGATATGCTGGCGTAAAGTGCAAACAAAAAAAAAAAAAACATGCCACTTTCCTAATACTTTTCGACTGCACCGTGGAACACAAATACACAATTAAAGTGCCATTTACTTCTAGAAATCCTTTGCCTGCTCAGGCGGCGCGCCACTGTCAGAACGGTAAGCTAGAGATCTCTCTAGGAGTCTCTCGCTCTCTCTGGAGGCTTCAAGTTTCCTCGACCTCATAGGGATGCGAGATGGATCGTCATCCTTACGAGTTGAATATCATTTAAAAAAGAATTAAAAAGATGGGGACAAAAAGCTCCTGAGTTAAAAGTGTTTAAGTTTGACACAAGCTGGGCTCCCCTGTGCTGGTGGATTTCGACTTTTTTTCCCCCCAGGGAAGTTGCCTTCCCTTGCTCCTGGGCCTTAAACATGATTTAACTTGGCTTTGGATCCGTCGAGTACTTGGGGTTTAGTCTATGGACGCGGCCATGACCCCCCGTTTGCTTTTGATCGATGTAAAATTGGCTCCGAGGAGCCAAGATTTTTCTCGAAGCGACGGGATGGCCAACAAGCGTATCGGCATCACGGATTTTCGTGGACCGGTCTATCCCGGGAATTTCATTTACGGTCTTTAAATACATTTTCTCTAATAAACAATAAAAGATAACGCTTAGGGGAGCCCACTGCACCCGTCAGACGCTACTGCTTGTGGGAAAAATCGCCTCCTTCAAGCCATTTCATCCGCTCTTGTAACAAATCAAACCAACAGCTGGATGGCGTCGTTAACAGTTCGGTTAGCTTTCAGGGGGCCCTCGCGTCAGAGATCTGTGGCATGTTGTGGATGAGCACCGACGCATGCGAGAGCTGCACATTAGCATCTTGCACTGATATTGCTAACAGTAGCGTGGCTACCAACTAAGTCACAGACAATCTAATACTACGCAACAAGAGACTTACGCATGCATTTTGTGAGTGAAAACAGGTAAATAGCTGAAGCCTATTTCGGTACCGGTATCGTAGTTCGACGTAGCACCACTAAACTGCGACCTGCACCATGAGTTATGTGAGCTTAGAGCTCGTGCACCTCTTTGTTAATATTACTTTTCCCGTCTTGTCTGAGAGGACCGAGCTGCCGCGCCCGCTGATCCTGATTTTGGGCTCTAACGCAACTGATGGAACGAGAAAAAAAACGGATACTAAAAAAGGCACAGAGGTTACTCTTTTTTTCTCTCTCGTCCTCTCGTGAAGTGGAAACAGATGACCCGAATGGCAGGCTAGTCAGCAGTGGTTTTGTCCTAGTGGCCAGGCCAGTACCTTAGCGGTGATCGGTCCTAACACGATGCACCGGTCAATGTTAAAACTAGTCACAGGAGGAATGGATAACGCTGATCATCCTGTAGTAACGTGGTTTTGGAAGACACCCTGGGTGGTGGAGCTCGTAAAACCTGCGTTAAATGATCTAAACATCAGACAGACGTCCCATCCTGGAATCCATGGCATCCTCTGCTTGCTTCGCAGTGCCTTTAGAGGTCTCATGTCAATGGTCTAAAAGGGGTTTGTTTACATGAATGGGATTTGAAGCATTATAAAGGAGCACCTGGGACATGAAGGGGCATGTTTAGGTTGAGACCTTGAGATTTAGTTTTTAGGTGGCAATGTCATTTTTATTTCTAAACCACGATGGCAGCTTCAGACATTTGTTCATGTAGCACGTTTTGACTCAAACACTGCTACGCCGAGGACCACCACTGGCAAAACGTTGCTGCAAAAGCCTCGCACGGGGACAGTATTAACGGAGTCTTAATTCACTAAATAGCTTTTGAGAGATTTGAAGCGGCAGTTGCTTTTCAAGGATCGACGGGCTGCTTTGTCAGCTTTCATGATGGCAAAACTGTCAGAAATCCCTTACAATGCTTCCCTCATGTTAAGAAAGCCCTGCTCACAGAGGGGGAAAGAAAGAAAAGAAGAAAAAAAAAAGCTGACAAGCTTGGCTTGCTCACTATATAGGACACAGAGGACTGATTAATTATTCAAAACTCAATATTACTGCTTATGGAGGAGCTGGTGTTGGACTAGTCTATAGTCCTTTATATCCCTGATGTGTTGTCCTTAACCTTACAGACCCTAAGATTTAATAATTTTCTCTGCTTTACACTGATGCTCGAGCATGTAACAAGATGGCAAAGACTGTGTCTTATGCTGCTCTATCAATGGAACCAGCACTGACTGCATATGACAAAAGCGCCTCCAGATGCCCTCTCGACTCACACCTTAGGTGCCTTATTAAGGTGCTTCACTAGCTGCTTTGACAATGGGGGAGAAAAGTTTAAGATGAAAAAAAAAAGGGAAAAGCACAAAGTCGGCTGTACATCGTGGCCCTGCTGGCTGAATGAAACATCTATTTGGTATGAATGTGGGACTCATGCAGGCGGGGTTTACAGGGAGGGAGCTGCTGTGGGAACAGGCAGACGTTAAGCACAAAAGAGGAGCGAGGAGATGCAGAGAATCGTTACTTGTGCCTTCCGTTCCTGTCAAAAACAACCTGTTCCACTCACAAACGTGTGCTTGCCAGAAAGCGTTACACTGAATATAATCATATGTATTTTCCGTGATGTAAGTAATAATGAAAACAAAGATTAGAATGAAATCCGTTTTATAGCTTTTTTATATTTCATTTCATCCTTCGCCAGAAAGCGCCATGTCGGTATAGCTTCTAACTGGCAGCTAAGGAATATCTAAAGTTCTGTCTTCTCCTGCAGTGTGTGTATAGGCAATGGACAAGCCCCCCTCCCCCGCCCTTATTTAACCTTGAGTGGCAGTTCCCTCTCTAGCCAGCGAACTCGTACTTTCTGTTTATAGTGATACTCCTTGAGAAAGTCCTGCAGGGCAGGGGGCAACGGCAAAGAGCCTATGCCATCGTAAGAGGTCCAGCGACAGATAGCGGCTCGTGCCAGGTGCTGCAGGCCAAAGGGAAAGGTCCGATGGAGAGGCGCTGTGAGCAGCGGCTCGAAAAACATGCAAGCACTGGGGTCCTTGTAGTGCTCCAGCAGTCCTGTGACGGTAGAAGAATGGAAAACACAAGGGTCGTGAGCGTCGAAGCTGAAGTTGTGGTTCCACTGCTCGATGCGTGCGTGCAGGGACCTATTGTAACGGCGGAAGCTAACAGAAAAGAGGTAGTCCTCCTGGGCCGAGTCGCGCAGCAGGAAGGTGCCTTCCGGCCGGCCATCCAGCAGCGCCTCAGCCTCATAGCGGTCCATCACGCCCCAGTAACAGGGCAAGGCTGTAATCTCCAACAGGTCTGGCACCAGGCAGTGGATGTAGTCTATCTGGGTGTGGACCTTCCAGGGCCCGGGCTGCTGCCGGCTCAGGTGGCCGTCCCCAGAGGCATGCCTCTGCTTGGGCCTCCTGGCTTGCAGGCATAAGGTGGTGGAATCTTCCTCCGAATCACAGTCCTGGGCTGAGGCTGCAGCCCCCAACACGTGCACGCTGGCTCCTGATGATCCCGCGACCCCCGAACTGCCGGCCCCACAAGCCCGTCCTTCCCCAGAGGCCTCTCCCATGCCAGGAGCCATCTTTGGTCCCAGTTTGTAGAGAGAAGAGCTTGGCACTGAGGCCTCTAGGGTGTGGATCTGTGCGTTGGGCGGTGGATCTACGCCCTCCTCGATGCTGAGCCTGCGGCGCTCCCGCAGACGTTCCTCCTCATCCTCGGGCGAAGGGTGGGCTGGATCAAAAGCATCGAGAATGGTGGTGGAGGAATGCGGGCTGACTGGTGCCGTGTGCTGTTTGATCAAGTGCCACTTGTGAGCCAGATCAGAGCCCGGTGGGAAGGGGCAGGTGTCCAGCATGAGCTCAGTCAGGTGAATCTTCCGCTTGGAGACGACGGGGTTCTTGGAGGTGTGAGAGCGTCTGCGTGCAGGCAGCGGTAAGCACAAGCCAACTGTGTCGCTTAGCCGCTGGCGCAAAGAGCGTGCGTTCAGATTGCGTCCCCCGGATACAGAGTCGTTGATCTCCTGGACGGAGCTGATCCCGTATCGCCTGTCTCTGCGATTCCCGCTTCCCCTTAAGCGCCCGGAACGCCGTTCGGCCTCCAAGGAGCTCTGGGTCTTAGTGGAACACGAGTGCTTTTTCTTGCCCCCCCATGGGGCATGGCGAGAGTAAGAGTCCCTCCGTGCCATGGGAACAGGCCCCGAGCCTCCTCGGACATCCTCGGCATCTTTGTCGATGGTAATCTCTACGATCTGCGGGATATCTGAAACACAGTTGTGATGGCGGCGACCTGTCGTGGCCACTTGCACAGGCAGGAGACTCCACGATGGGCTGGTGGCTCTTGGACCTTGACCCTCCCCTGAGCTGTCTCCTTCACCATGATCCACTACACAGTGGACAGATTCAGCCTCAACTTTGCTTTCATTAGGTCCTGAGCTGTGAAAGAACGTCTGGCATCTGCTTTTCAGGCTGCTCCACATGTTGCCCACTTTCTTCATTAACTGGAGTCCCTTGGACCTGATGAGAGGAGACAAAGCTGATTAACATCTCGTTTTAAGACTTAACACGGAGGCGCAAACCTCACAAAGAATGTCTTGCGTTTTAATTTCACCAGACAACTGTGTATATAGCAATTAAACATGATGAGAGTGTAACAGGACCAAAGTGTCTGAGATGTGGGTGAGTTTGGAGGGGTTGGAACATCGGAGATAGGAGTTGCCAGGCAGACGTGCAGGAACACAAGGCCACAGCTATAAATGAAACTGGGATCTGCTCACAGCTGATCTGCTAGTATGTACTGTATTACAGAGCCAGTCTAGACCTGACCAAAAACGTTCCCTGTCCCAGCAGCAGACAGGGCGCTTGAACGTACACGCACACACACTTGTTGTTGATTTATCACACTACTAGACTTTGACAGGGATTTGGAAGGAGTAGCAGCACACTTTTTGGAGTGACATAAATTTGTCAGTGAACAAAGTCACCACAGGTAGCTGCCCTGTCTGTCTGTAGCAATTCCACACCTGCTTCAAAATGAGCTTCTTTCTAATGCCAGTCTGCCAGGGTTTGGGCTAATGCGAGCAAATACAAAGAACTGCAGGGACTGAATACATCGGAAAATTTGCAAAAAAAAAAGTAAATATCAACTTAACAGCTTCCAAGACTTCCTTGGACTTCGAAATATATCACAACAATGTGGGAATTCTTCATTTTTAAAAACAAAACAATCATTTAACTCTTACACTGTCCAAAGGAGGTCACCCCATTGCAAAGTACAAGCCAACACATTACTGTATGTATAAATTATACTATATTTTATGTGCCCCTCACTGACCACAAGGAGTCCCTTCAGAAGGCTTCAATCTATCCGTCATTACCGTTTCTGATTAAATATTTGATAGAACCAAGCAGAAGGCGTTCACTGTGTAACATGATGACCATTGTACAATGGCAAATGTCTGAACATCTCTTTCACTTTAGTAAAAACAAAAACCTTATGAATCTTGTCAATATTTTAGATGGAGCAGTCTAGATGCAGTTTTCCAACTGAAAGTGGATCAACTTTCAATCATAGATGGCAAAGCACTGTTGATTATTGTCAACTGTGAAAGTGACTTAAATCTTCTCCTACTCCAAATATTTTTCCTCCAAGGTTGGACATCCAATACTGTCCCTAATGTACAGAATTCTGTAAATAACACAAGCAGTCTGAAAAAATTTTATGTGCCCCTCCTCAACTCTTAAAGACAATACCTCTATTGTTTCCATCATGTCAAAGGACCAAAAGAAAACCCTACAGAACTAGCTAACAGAGGTAGTACTTGTACATACAGTTTTGGAAGAAGAGTAGTTTTCTCCTTTTATGGATTTTAAACTAAGATTAAATCCTTTAACCTGGTATTCTAGACAGTGTGTTATTGAGTCAAATGCTCCATGAATATGAATATACATGAAAAATGTAAATAGTTATTTTTTTCTTTGTGAAAAAGAAGTTACACCGTTCATCCTTTGCTTTGCTAACTGCTTTGTTAATTTAAATATCAAAAGAGAAAAGTCTGATAAACTAATCAAATCAAATTAGTCACCCAATTATGCTGTTCAAATATACTCAGATTTCTGATTTTTTTTCGGTTCTACATTAATTGTTGTTAAATCATCTGATCTGCACTGACAAACATTATAGACTTGAAGTCACTTTCAGGATAAAATATCAAAACACACCAACATATTAAGTTAGTTTTCACATTTTAAAGCAGACAAATTAGGGTTTTTCTCACTACTGGCAGCCCTACTGGGCTCTGTTCGCCTTGCTATGACTGTGTGTGCTTGTGTATTAGGGATTTACAACATCGATGGGCCGTGTTTAACTTCTTTACACACATCCTCAAATAATTTTGTACCCAACCTCGCCATTACGGTTAACACGCTAGTGAAGTATCTCCTGTAGCCTACATCTTACGATCTCACCACCTAATGTTGAGCATTCAGAGCACAACAAACATAAGCTATTTGTGCTTCTTAATGTGGCACCAACGATTGTCTTTGTCAACGTGAACAGCTCGAAAAATAATGAAGAATTTATCTTTTCTGCCTCGGCAGCCAGCAGTCTGCTGTAGGCCCGACTCAGCCTGCTTGGAAGCCTGGCTTAGTAGTTGTTACCACTTTAACTGTTAGGAGGCGCTAGCCGCTAATGGAAAAGAAAACAACAAACAAACAAAAAGAAAAAGCAAAGTTTAACCAACTTGGGTTGGTATTAATGGAATGCCCCTAAACTGTATTCACAAAGGTGGGGCCCATCTTTTAATGATGCATGCTTCAAAACAGCCCCGTTTCAGTAATTATAAATACAATTATCGTTTAACTCTAATTGGTAACTCGATTAAACACTTTTCTCCCATCTACAACTAAGCATTTGTAACTTTTCATCAATTTGCAGTAGCAAGAAATTAAACTATCTAGGAAGGCATGAGCCAAAGGACACCTTGTAGTCTATTATGTTCTGGTAAAGGAGAAGTTAAATATGGCTCATTCAATATAAAAATGACCAAAGCTTGAAACATCATTACAGTCAAATGGGAAAAAAAGAAAAAAAACAACTTTAAACACGTAAAGATATACAAAAGCGTAAGCTTTCATCTAAAAACATATCCATTCATTGTTTTTGTCACAAGTGGGAATCTTTTATATAAATAGACTGACCAGAACATTCTTTTTTGGGGTTTTTAAACGCCATTTGTGGGATGAAAGCTTTAGTCGGCAGGTAAGTCAAAAAACAAACCAAAAAAGAAATATAGGCAAAGAGAATTGAAACTCGTACGTGACCACAACACAGACTCTGAAAATAGTTCCTAATGTTAGGTGAAGTTTCCTTACTGTTTGCTATCCCAGCTGTCCAAAGAATCCAAATAATGTGTCGGCTGAATATATCTAGATTAGGAGAGTTCTTAGCAAGCCGACCGCTTCGGTGGGACAATGCAGAACAATAATTAGAAAACAATACTGATTCAGGACAACTGTGAGTCTTTCTTAATGGAAAAATTTCTGTTTTTTTTTATCTTACTGTATATTACATGTGTTATTTCTAATGATACAACTTCTAGATAGATGTATTTCTTACTAGAGAGACTGAGTTTGTTTTATATACATATCTATCTATAATCTACATTATTTACTAATGCCCCAATTCATTACACCACAATATCCTTCACAATCAGACCAAGTGCAAAAAAACAAACAGATTTTCTGATGGGTTGAAAATGTTTGTTATATTCTAATTTTCACATTTTTATTTTTACCTGGTTATTTATGTAGTCCTCAGTTCTGAAAGAATGTTAAACATGTTGATAGGCAGAGTTTTTGGTCATGACTTAGATTCTCAAACTTAAATTGCCAGCAGAAATTAGGAGTTTGTCATGAATTTGCAAGGTCTTTTTTCCCTTCAAGTACAAAATCGGTATCCATCATAATATTTGGACAAAACTTGCAGCCAATTTTACAGCTGGGAAATAATCATTGTTGTTAAAAAAAGGAATGAGGAAGGCAACAGTTCATTTGTAAAAATAAACACAAACAAAACCCTAATAAAATGTTTCATTATTAAAATTGATTTCAAACATTCCACAGATGAATTCTTATAAGAGACCTGAGTGTCGCAAGTTAAAAAGCATGCTAACAAGCTTCCTTATAAAGAGTCTCTTATAAAGAGTCTCAGACTGCCCGACTTAGGCAGAAACTTAAAAGTTTCATCAAAGGGGGAGCAATGTTCAAAGTGAATTCTTACTACTTCTGTTGCCAAGTCTCTTTCTGAGACGGCAAAATATGCAAATAATCTCTCTTTTGTTAAAGTTTTCTTTGGGCACAAAGGCCTGTCAGTTCCAAAGTAGGTTTCCTGTGTCCGTCTGGATGCTGTAATTGAGCACTCAACTTGAAAACACAAATCAACTAACAGAAGCAGAATATTGAGTTTTTATCAAATAAAAGGCTGTGGTCATCATTCTATTAGTTATACTTTCAAGAGCCCCAAACTTCCATCTTGATTGCTGTGTTTTGGTGCGTTTCCTGCTTGACCACAAATTACCATATAAAACATATATAGATAGAGTTCATAAAACATAACGTGTTTTATATAATATAACACTACAATTTACTTAATCATTGTACCATCTTTCCCATTTCTCATTTTTACTGAACAAACTTTGCCACTGTCGACTAACACAAAGTAATACATTTTTAAGCTCTCCGATCCAGATAACATTTGAATTAAAGATCTCTGACAAATGAGAAAATTATCAAAGCTCTGAAAGGAGGTAGAAGGCTGAGAACAGGTCCTAATAATTATGATGCCAGGCAGTCAACTGAAAATAAGGGTGCCTGTGGCAGCCTGCACATTAGCCCCTTCTGGTCTGGTGGAACCAGTCAACTGGACATGAGAAAGCTTAATAAAAAGGACAGTTAAATTCTTCATCTTGCCTACATTTAATTCAGGCAATGATGGTGACCGTTTCTGATCATGACGAGCAAAGGGGACACAAAACGCAGCATCACGCACTCCTGCCTACAGTCAACTAGACCAAGCAGCCAATTCAAGAGCGAGAAAGCCTTGCTGAACAACTCTGACTGAAGCCACTGACAAGAGCAACCACACCAACAGTCCATTTTGAGCCAACCTGAAACTGAACTAGGCTACTTCTGTTCTCCGGCAGCCCAACACACCCATTCTCCTGGGATCAAACTGATCTAAGAGAGGGTTGGAGAGGAGACAAGATTCAGGGAGGACCGCGTTTTCTGCTCAGACCAGAGTTAATGAGAGATTTGCAGCGCCTCCAGTACTTAGAAGATTTGCAGGAAGGCAGAAAAACCATCGTGATAAAACAGGCTGATCTTTTTTTTTTCATATCACTTAAATCCCAACTGTTGTTAAACGCTTTAAACAAATTCTAATCTGGCACACTACTGTGACCTCAAACACCATTGACAATAGGCCAAAATGAAGCAAAGC